TTTTACGCGTGAGCTTCATAACGCGCGCGCACGCGTACGTCAAAATTTCAAAATGCTTGAAATTTTTGACTAAATTACAGCACGTTTCAGGCCATTTTGAGCATTTGAAAATTTTTCATAATTTTTCACTACGCGCGCACTTTTACTTGCACAGTACGTTTGGAAGCTAGAAATTAGGTGTTTTTTTTACATATTTTGGGTTCCTGAAATTGTTTTCACAAATTTAAATTGTTTTCGCTCATCTTATGGCCAATAGCAATGTCGTACGTGCGCATCAAACATAGGGACCTTTGCGCGGATTTGTGCCGATATACAGTGAATATATGCTAAAATCAGGCCTATTTTTAATCAGTTATAGCTCCTTAGGATGAAAGGTGACTCCCAATTTTTATTACATATTCTGAAAGCACATGAGTTTTAAATATGATGTTACAGATCATAATGACTGATCAGACATTGTGACGTCATCATATTGCCATCTGAATTCAACAAACTGAATTTTATCGATGACGTCATTTTTGAAAATACGCATTTGAACGTATCTCGCTTATCCTTGATCGATCGTCTTCCAACTTTTGAGTATGTTATAGCTGAGACAATTCTCTTTCATATATATGACCTCTTTGACATTTTGATGATGTCATCATGGTCAAAAAAATTGTTTTTTCTGACCCCCCCCCACATCTTTCTTTACTCAAAACGTTGATGACCCCATATCATCTTAACCATTCGTCATTTCTGAATCATATCAAGTGAGCATAATCTTCAGGTCAAGGTTGAATGTCAGGTACCTTAATTTTTGTTCGCGCAACTTAACGTGCGTCAACAATTATGTATACTTAAAATTATGCCTACTTGTGCGTTAAAATTTCAAAATTGTTAATATCACTTTTCAGATAATTTAAAGGACATTTCAGGTCATTTTCAGTATTCCAAAACTTTCCATAATTTACGCGGCGTACGCTCATTTCCACGCCCACAGCGCGTACTGAAGCTGGAAATTACTTTTCGGTCACATGTTTTGGGTTTGTGACACTGTATTAATATCATTACCGTGCGCACGGACGTTAAGACGTAT